GATGAAATGGTAGACCAGCCTATAGGAACAGCCTACCATGTTACTACTATTTCATCTGTTAAATAAAAATTATAAGAGGCTATTGTTTTGGACTAAGCTTCTGCACCAGGCCCTAAAATGCTCATAGAATAAATGAATAAAACACAAGCAAGGCATACGCAAATTCTACAGTAACACATCATAAATGACAATGAGGTAGTAGTCATTGTTCTTTCCAGGAATAATGGCATTTCAAAACTTACTGCAGAGAAGAAAACAACAACAAAAACTCACTCTAGAAACGGCAAAGAAAAAACCCTAAGTGGTAATATATTACTCCAACCCAACCATTATTATGCTTACATTGTTATTCTTTCAATATTTTATTATATTTTATTTCTTTTTAAATTATTTCTTTTTAATTTTTATTTATTCATTAATTTATTTTAATTTGACCAGAGAGAGACAGAGAAAGAGAGAGAGAGAGAAAGTGAGAAAGCAAGCCACCAGGTCCAGGACTTGAACTGTGGTCGGCCATGTGGGAGTGCCCAACACCTTAACCACCATGCCACCTGCTGGTCCCCATCTTTCAGTATTTTAAATATGCATTTAAAAATATTTATTTATTTATTTATTTGTTTTTGTTTTTAATTAATTAATTTACATTCATCCACTGAGCATTGTCACAGCATACAAAATGTGATTTCCCATCCAGAATATGCTGCATAGTGGCTTAATCATACATGTTATCGTCAATAATGTTCCATTTCTAGTTTCATATATATATATATTTTTTCCCCCTATTTATCACCCTTTGCCATTTCCCTCTCCTCTCACACTATCTCAGGTGTTCACAGTTGTTTTCCATTCCCTTTTCCCCCACATTTTATTGATTCACAAAATTTCTTAATCTAACTACTTTCAATAGCAAGCTCTGCTGATATATACATATCTAAGAATACCTCTCTGACTTTAGGCATGAAACTCTGAGTAGAGTGAATATACCATAAGGTAGCACCTCGCTGATGCCATATAGTTTACTAGGGTCATTAATGACGTATTTTTTACTATATTTTTTAATTTCAAGAAAAGCAGATTTAATATTTGTAATCAGAACATTTGGATAGGATATAGGAATTTATTTTCAAAATAACCACTCTCCTATAACAGCAAGATTACTAAAAACAAAATTAGGGACTGTCACATCAAGAAATCTGAAATAACCCTTGATAAAATTAATGTCAGTACAACAAAACATGTGATATAAATCATGGAAGAGTTACTGGTCAAGGAGGTAGAAAATATGTATTCTCTTGCTGGCTTCTCCTCTAAGTGTTTCGTTGTTCTCACCTGTAAAATGAGACAGCAATGGCGCTCCATAATCTCAAAGGTCTTCTTAAAGTCTGAAATGTAATAATTTATAGAAAATAATCCATTGTTTTATGTTCTCATTGTAAATCAGTTTATGTATACATATGTATATATATAATGCTTACATATATGATACACACACACATATAAACATTTGGTGGAGCACAGCTGCTCCTTTATGCAGAAATCGCTTAGAAATTCACATAAAGAAGCCAAATTTTCAAGATTATTTTTGGAAAATTCATATGTGTGTTGTGATGAGGAAAAAAAAATTTATAATAAAAAACAAAGTATAAAAAAAAAAAAGGAGAGAGAAGAGGATAAAGACAGCAGTAAACAATAGAGAGGCAGGATGTTAATGAGAAATAGACATGGTTTATTACCTGTTGATGATGACATGTATAGTATTCTCAACTGAACCGGTCTGGAAAGTATTTCATGATGGGTGAAGTCTTTTTAATAAGCAAAATGAGAAATAGTGATTGACTGTTTAAAAAAATTATAATAATAATTATTGGGAAAAGCATGGAAAAGATATTGAATGATAAAGCGGGGAGATTGATATCTCTGTATTGACTGACATGCATGGCATTCCCTTTTGAAAAAGCAATGGAAGTCAATGTAAAGTTATATGTAATCTAGTGTAATAGAAAGAAGATTATGATGATGATAAAAAAAAAAAAGATTATTTTTTACCTGCAGGAACTGCAGCGAGCAGTGTCATTTATTAGATGGACAGATTATTAGTAATTTAAATTATCAAAGATAAACGTTTATCTTTGTAAACCAACAAACCAGAAAGTTAATTCAAAGTGATAACAAACCAGCTATGAGTACTGCAAAAAGAAGGGTGAATATAAAACATAACTGGCTCATTGGGGTACAGAAACGGGATGAAGAAAGTTGCTATTAGACTCCCACAAGAGATTTTGTTTAGAATTCAGAATGAACCACTTTCCTCTACTTCGTTTTTCCTCAGGGCCAAACTACCATCTTCTCCTAAGGATAAGTGGACATTATGATTAATTCATTAATCTAGAGAATGTCTTTCTTTTGGTGGTCACGGTAGAATTCCCTTAAATGGAAGCTTCATTTCCTCCATTGCTACCTTTACCGGGCAGGTGAGTCTGACCGGATGAAGGTTTAAGGTGCTGCTCCTAAACATGGCGAAAATGTATCTGCTGTGGAGATTAAATTTCGGTCGCTTCCTTTATTTAACTTAAATAGCCTAAATCCGTCACAGTTTCAAAAGAGTCAGAGCAGAATTCGTGCAACTAAAAGCTATTCCCAGCTTCAAGGCGAATGCTGAAGTCGGACTAGCAGCCGGAATCCAGGATTTCCAAACTGGTTCTTGAAAGAAAGAATTTAGGACTGTGTAAGCACGCGTTTTCTGCTTCATGTTAACATTTTCAGCGGTCACTGTCCAGTCAACTGCAAAATCCCTGTAAACAAAAGCAACTTTCCCATTACACGTCGCTGGCCGGCAGCGAATCCCCTACAGCTCCCTCAGGCTAAGACAAATGCCCAGGCGAAGAAATCCTGGCCCGCCCACCAAAACAAGCCCTTCAAAACCCGCCGGTGCTGTTCAGTTTCTAGCTCTCACCACAGTCTCTTGCTGCCCCCTGCAGGGGCCCTCGTAACTAGTTATGTACACGGAACGCGCTGACGGCTAACGCACGGCCACCGGGGGGCGCAGACCTGGCCACGTCACCTCTGTGCGCGGCCAAGGCCGGAAGTTAGTCTTGCTCGCTTCCGCTAAGGGCCTCGGAGGAGTAAGAATACAACGTCCTACGGCGCCCAAGTGTGTTTTGAGGTAAAGTTGGAGGTTTGCGGCTGTAGGTTTTTGTGTGTGTGTCTGTTTTTTTTTTTTTTTTTTTTTTTAAAGAAGAGAGCAGGGGGACAGCACAGCTTCTTGCAGAGTTGCCGTTGGTGAAGGAAGAAAGATGGAAAGAGCCTGTGGCGTGGAATTACCGTGCTTTTGATGGAAAGAAAAAAAAAAAAACTGCCATAGTTCGAACCCTGAGCTTCAGTTTAAACTAGCTAGTAAAGGAGCTTGACACTGTTTCGGATTTTGTAATTTTGGGAATAATGCCTGTGTTTTAAGTTGTTGTGGGGCTTTAGTAAGATAAGGTATATGAACCACTTAGTTCTGGCTCTACATCTACAAATAGGTGACTTCTCTCCTTTTCCCATCTGACGCAGATGAATATTTAGTTTTCTTATCAGATTGCCTGAGAGATGCTTTAGTTTGCAGTAGATCATGAACCTCAGGAGAACATTATGCAGTGTTAGCTGAGATTAATTTCTTTATTCTGTTTTCCAAAATCTTGACGTTTTGCTTTTGTGTGTGTGCATTTCTAGAGACAGCTGTTTTCCAGCCTTTCTGGAAGGATGCAAAGTCCTCTGAGGTGAGAAATGTGTTTGCTATGAAAGTCTCAAAACTTACTTAGCTTGCTTCCTCAAAAAGGAACAAACACGGGAACCAGCAGTTAGCGTAATGGCTATGTCGCTGGACTCCCACGTAGTCGAGCGTGGTTCGTGTCCCGGACCCGGTGGCTTAAAACTCACGCCGGGCGCGTGTGCGTGCGTGCCCAAGATCCCGAGAGGAGAATGGAGGAGAAGGGATTGCGGCGTGACCATCCCCCCTGGGGGGTGATTTCTTGCTTTCTGTCTCTATGTCTCTCTCTGTCTGGCGAGCGCACGCACCCTTCAGTGAAAATCTCTCCCAAAAAAAAAAACCAAAAAAACGAACAACAAAAAACCAGTTGAATGTGGTGCCTAGGGATAGTGATTAACCATTTCCCTTTAAAATTCCTTTAACAGGTCAGTTGTGGAGCAAAGGAGAGGGCTAATCCTCTAATTCCTCAGACCTCACAAGTTATACAGAGATTTGCAGTGTTTATTAAGTTTGAATATTAGCCCTTGGGATAAGTGTTTTGGTTAACTAGTAATGTGTATTTGAGGGCCAGCTGGTGGCATAGTGGTTAAGGTGGCTGGATTCCACATGGTCAACTAAATTATTTATCTAGTTGCAGTCAACTATGTGGGAGTCCAGCAATGTAAACATTACGCCATCTACTGGCCCCTGCCTCCTGGAGTTTCTTTGAAAAATCTCAAACAGATCGTCAGTCTGAGAGGTTTTTGTTGTTTTTCTTTTTCTTTTTCTTAATTATTTATATTTTACATTTATTCACTATATATCATTGCACCATACCACATGAGTTTTCCCATCCAGAATATGCTATATATTGACTCATTCAAGGATATCACCATACATATTATCATCAACAAATAATTTTTCATTTCTAATATATTTTGCTTTTCCCCCCCTTAATTCTCTCCCTTACTCTCTGCCATCTCCCACCCTCCTCCCACACTGTCTCTGGTATCTACGGTTGCTTTACATGTTTTTTTTTCCACATTTTATTGATTCACAAAAGATCTTAATCTAAATATTTTTGATAGCAAGTGCAGCTGATATAAACATATCTGAGAACACATATATGACTTTAGGCATAAAACTCAGTGAATAGAAAGAACATACTATAAGGTAGCACCTCACTGAGGCTATATAGCTTACTGTGGTCATTACTTTTTTTTAAAATGTATTTTTTAATTTCAAGAAAAGCAGTTTTGTCTTTAATAAATAAAAATAAAAAAATGTTAAGAAACATTTTTTAAGACTTAAAGCGAGGAAAAAGGTTAGGATTCTGTCTAAACCATAGGTAGATACTAAAAACTCAAAAAACAAATATGGACAGAGCTAAAATCTAGTAGCAAGTGTACTGTAATTTTCTTCAGAAACAATTTTTTCTCTCTCCATTTCCCCATTTACCAAAGAGAGGCATAAATTAACTTACTTGAAAAAAATTTAGTCTCAGTTTGATCTGTTATTTGCACAAAACCCTATAAGAATACTAATTGATTTAATTTGCCTTGTTGGAACCTTTTATAAGGATCTTCAGATTAGACTCTTTAATAAACCTCCCAAAGCTACTGAGCCAAGTCAGGAAGTGACATTCTTTACTTACCTGCCAGGCAGATACAATCACTTTTTGATTTAATAGGATGGAGTCAGTCTGGTTAAAGTAGGCCCCTTTTACTGTTTGAGAAAATTGAGACTTTTTGCATTAGGCTGTTTAAATATTCACCCTGTTGATGTTACAGAGTATTTAGAATGGAGATCAGCTGCTAAGAGTAAAAGAGCATTTTGAAGTTTGTCTGTTTTGTGCTAAAAATTGATAAAGTAATATATATTTTCCATTGCTTTGTGAGCTTCTAGGCCAGTTTAATTTTTTTCCTGATTGCAAAATAATAGAATAAATAAAATCCCAATATTTCAGTAATAGTACATAGTTGACATTAATCTCTCAGAGATAAATGTTATTCCACTTTTTCCCTCTGAATATGTTAATGCTGCTCTCCACCTTTTTTATTGTTATTATTATTTTTAATATTATACCAGAGGTGTGTTTGTTTGAGAGAAGAGAAAGTATTTCTCCAGTGGGGACTGGTCATGCCACAATCCTTTTTACCTCCCAATGCTCCATATTGTCAGGATTCTGGGCCTATGGGCATCCCTGAGATGTGAACCCTGGGAGGTCATGTGAGATTTGACTTCTGCATAGCACTTAATCATTGAACTACTCACCCCACCGCTTCCTACACTTTTTAATATAAATAGTGTTACTTTGGCTCTACTCTTGGGCAGATCATCACTTCATAGGCATTTTTCATTGGCAAAAATAACTTGGGCTTCTCTTGGATTATATTTGATCTGCCCTTTCTATTTAATTTTTTTAGCACCTGTACAAAGTTGTACTGCAAGGATTTCCTACAATTTATTTATTGTCCAATTATTGGCAGCTGTTTTGGCTTCTTCGTTTTTGATAGCAAATAATGTTATAATGGGCATTCTTTTTCATAACAAATATGAATATTTTTTTCTTTTTATTTCCTTTGGGAAATCCCCAAGAAGTGGAAATGCTGGGTTAAAGGATAAGAACACTTAAAATTGTCATAGATGAGTGTCATATTCCCTTCCAATAACAGTATCTAAGGGCCTAACCCTTGTTTCTTTATATGTTTGTGCTGTAAATATTACTAGCTACTATTGTTTTTTAAGATTAGCTGAAAATGTTCTTACCATTTTGGAGGTGAATGTATTACATTTTAATATTGTATTCAAGAACAAATTTGAGTTGCCAGATCTATTTCAGTCCCCCCGCCCTCTTTCTTTTTTTTTAATAAGGTTTTTGCCATAGGGCACGTGTACTCTCTGGAGAGAGTCAAAGAGAGGGAAAGTGAGAAATCATCCACCTGGGGAGATGGCCATACCACAATTCCTTCTCCTCCAGCTGCCTCTTAGGATTTGAGATGTGCATGTGTACAGTCCTGATTTGGGATGTGCACACGCACAGTCCTGAGTCTGGAACTTGAACTGTGGTTGACCATATAGGCGTCCAGCACCTTTACCACTACACAATCTGCTGACTCCTTTTCTATATAAATAGAATACCTAGTCTTAGATCCCTTAGTAATAAATCATTATAAAACAAACGATTCACTTTAAGAGTAGTAACAGATTGGAGGGAAGAATGTGTAGAAATTTTCAAGCGCTAAGACAGATATAAGAGTTTTACTATAATCTCACTGGATTATTTTATAGCTCTTTAGAAAGCACTGCCTTGATCTACATCTGAGAGTTTTCTATACCATTGTCCAATAGAGGTCAGCTTTGAGCATCTGGAAGAAAGAACTAGCAGTGAGCTGTGCAAAGAATGAAGAGCCTTCATTATTCATTTAGAAGGAAGATCTTTTTCTTTTTTAAATAATTCTTTTATTTAACTTTATTTATTTACTTGTTTATTTTAATTTGACCAGAGAAAGACAGAGTGAAAGAGAGAAAGGGAAAAAGCAAGCCTCCAAGTCTGGGACTTGAACCATGGTCAGCCATTTGGGAATCCAGTGCCCTTAACCACTGTTCTATCTGCTGGCCCCCTAAGAAGATCTTATTTTTAAGTTTACAAATTCATGAATTTTTTGAAGAGTATATTGTTAACAGTGTTGTATGTGATATTATGGAGAAGTGAAGAATTGTGAGTTCAGTAGAATATGGATCAATTTAAAATGTGCTTTTATTGCAGTTCAATGTTTACTTTTTGAATGCAGTGCTTTTGGGTTTGAATGTTACTTGATTCTATAGTTTTGGAATCTTTTCCCAATTCTTTGAGAATCTGTAGATTATGTGAGCCACAGAAATGTCCCTAGCCTTAGATATAATGTAAATTCATATTAAGATTGGAATAATTGAAAGGATAAACAGAAAGAAGTTTTCTTTTAAATGGATTTAAAAACAGTTTTTTTCCTTTACTTGACCGAGGGCACATGCACTAGTGAGAGTGAGAGTGAGAGTGAGAGAGAGAGAGAAAGAGAGAGAGAGAGAGAGAGAGAGAGAGAAATAAGGAAAGCATCCTCAATGAGGTATGGTCATACAACAGTCCTCTTTTTCTCCATTTCTCTGTCCTTTCAGGATTTTGCAAAGAGGAAAAAGAAAGCACCCCCAGTAGAACTTGGTTTCACAGCAATCCTTTTATCTCCATTTCTCCATCCCATCAGGATTTTGGGCCTGCATGCATATGTACTTGGCATGTTTTTCAAGCCATCAAGGCTGGAATTTGAATCATGTTTTGTCATTGGAGATCCGTCTCCAATGTACTATAGGGCTGGCCTCAAATTGACCTTGAAAGCAGTCTTTTAAGCTCAAAATGTTAGTGGTAGGTTGAAAACATCCATCTCTATTTTCTATTTTATGCTTAACTAAGAAAGGGAGAAAAGGGAAATGCCTTCTCTAAGTAAGAACACATTGTACATAATTAAGAATCAAGAACTAAGTTTGTTACAATATATACTCTGAAAAGGAAAAAATAGTTTTTTTAAAAAAAATATATATATATATGCTGTTTTATGATTTAGACTGCGTAGTTTTGGAACATATCCGAATAACAGAATAATAAGTTTTCTCTTGCTTTCTTCATAAAATATTTTGTATAAATGGAGATGCTCATTTTAGTAGGGACTCATGATTATAATTGCATTTAAGTTCATACATTTTGTGCCCCATTTCTAAATGATCAGGAAAATGAGTTATTGAGGTTTTAGTCACTTGCTGTAAGTGTCATACAATAGATGCAGACAACCCTGGATTAGTCTTGTGTAATATGGTACTAGAGTAAAGGAGAGTGGTAAAAGTAACTTTTAAATATGTATTTGCCATTTCTTAGCATAGGCTCACATGTGATAGAGTAGGTGGATTAAATACCCCAAGTCAGTAATTTTGAAGGTAAAAATTGGTTTTATATTGTTGGGTTACAATGAAGGAGACAATAGGGTAAACTGAGTGAGTTGGAAATTAGGTTCAGGAGCTACCAGAGGTCTATATTAGTGAAGAATTAAGGGTATAATGATCATATGAATTTTTAAAAATTACTTATTTAATTTATTACTGTCACTGTTGTTTTCTTTTTCTTTTTCTTTTTTTCTTTTCTTTTTTTTTTTTTTTTTTTAAACTTGCTGTAGTCATCAGAGAGAGAGAGAGAAAGAGAGGGAAAGTGAGAAAGCAAGTCTCCAGGTCCAGAACTCAAAACCATGGTTGGCCATGTGGGAGTCCAGTGCCCTAACCACCACACCACCTGTAGCCTTGATAGTATGAATTTAAAGGGTACCATGAATATAGAAAAAGTACTTAGAATAGAAATTAGATAGCCTATGATGTCAATTTTTCAGGGCTAGATTTAGAGTTTGAAAACCAGGAGGTGAGAGACAAGAAAATCTACTATTTTTTGGCAGGGCAAGCTTAAAGGTCTGGGAAGTTAGAAGATAAGGTAGACTTGAAAGTGTCAATCATTCTAAGTAAGCCAGAGGTTTGTAGATCATAAAGATAAAGCAGATAGGGAGGACAACTGGTTTTAGATAGCCAAGATAGAGAAGGCCAAATAAAAACAGTAAGATAAAAGGAATAATTCTTGGACTGTGATGGTGCCATCATGCCTTTCTTTATGTTAATGGAAACAGCACTGGGCCCAAGGTAAGATCAGAAGCCGTGAGCTAGGGAGTGGGAGTCTGGTGGCTGTGTGGTTAATACAACACCAGGAGAGCTATAGCTATAGGTATTTTCTTTCAGAAAGGACCACAGTGGTTATAGAATTATAATATGGTCATTCGGCTATTTAACATATGCATTTTTATAATCTTAATGTGTTGTTTTATGCAGCATTGCAAGAGGTTTGCGCTACTTTACCTTTATGGCATCAAGAAACCTCTGGTATGTGAGAAGTAACTTTGTCTTTGGCTCAAGATGTTCGATGATCCCGTGTTCAGCAGAAATCCTCTTCAAATCCATTTCATTTAGGCTTTTCAGTGTTAAGTGTAATGATGCAGATAGCGAGCCTTTGGAAAATGAGGACCTACTGAACAATTTACTTACTATGGGAGTTGATATTAACATGGCAAAGAAACGACAGCCTGGAGTTTTTAATAGGGTGGTTACTAATGAGCAAGACCTGAAGACATTCCTTCTGTCCAAAGGAGCTAGCAAAGAAGTGATAGCTAGCATTATATCAAGATACCCACGAGCCATAACACGCACTTCTGAAAGTCTTTCAAAACGGTGGGATCTGTGGAGAAAGATTATGACATCAGACCTTGAAATTGTAAATATTTTGGAACGTTCTCCCGAATCCTTTTTTCGATCCAATAACAACCTGAATTTAGAGAACAACATAAAGTTCCTCTACTCAGTTGGATTGACTCGTAAATGCCTTTGTCGATTGTTGACCAATGCTCCTCGTACCTTCTCCAATAGTCTTGATTTGAATAAACAGATGGTTAAACTTTTGCAGGATATCTGTTTGTCCTTGGGTCACCATGATCCCGCAGATTTTGTCAGAAAGATAATTTTTAAAAACCCTTTCATCTTAATTCAGAGTACCAAGCGAGTGAAAGCTAACATTGAATTTTTACAGTCAACTTTCAACTTGAATAATAAGGAACTGCTGGCTCTGATATGTGGTCCAGGGGCTGAAATCTTAGACCTTTCCAATGACTATGCCAAAAGAAACTACACAAATATCAAAGAGAAGCTGTTTTCTCTTGGATGTACTGAAGAAGAGGTACAGAAGTTTGTCATAAGCTATCCTGATGTGATCTTCTTGGCAGAGAAAAAGTTTAATGATAAAATAGACTGCCTCATAGAAGAAAAAATTAGCATTTCACAAATAATTGAACATCCTCGGGTTCTGGATTCAAGCATAGGTACTTTAAAAAGTCGAATCAAAGACTTGGTGAATGCTGGCTATAACTTGAGTACATCAAATATTACTCTTCTGTCTTGGAGTCAAAAAAGATACAAAGCTAAATTGAAAAAAATAAATGGATAGAACATTATTTGGGAAGTTTAAAAAATTAGTCTTATAATGTAATGATACCATGTCATTTCAAATTTGCATCTTTTTAAAAGAGGTTTGGGCCAGTTGGTGGCACAGTGGTAATGCAACTGGCACACATGGGAAAATCCCAAGTTAGCATAGTGAGGCCTTCCTATACATGCTGGGTGCACATGTGAATTTCTGTGATCTGGGCTGACTGAGGGGGTAGTTCATGGTGTGAAGACCTTGTTGGAGGTACCTATATCCTTCCCTACCTCCTCTTCTTTCTGTCATGGAAGAAGTAAACTTTTGGGGAAAAAAATAGAGAGGTTTGATTTATTTACCATAGTTGCATATGTACTCTTTGGATATTTTTGTTTTATAGATTCATAAAAACTCAGGGTGAGCATGCTCAAATATAGTCCTCTTCTTTAATTTTTTAATTTTTAAATTTTTAAAGAATTATTTATTCATCATTACTATTTTAATTCACCAGAGAGAGAGAGAGAGAGAGAGAGAGAGATGTGTGTAAATGAGAAAGCAAGCTGCCAGATCTGGGACTTGAATCACAGTCAGCCACGTGGGAGTCCAGTGCCTCAACCATCATGCCACCTGCTGGCCCCATCTTCAGTTGTAATTAATGTAGAATTTCTTTATGTGATATTGACTATGACTACAATAAAAATGGCAGTTTCTGAGTGCCATGGCAGAACAATATGTAGAAAGATAATATAAAATAGGCTTTTGTGGTTTTTGTTTAAAAAAGGAGATGGAGTCATGTACGTAGTTCTCTTTCCTCCTATGGTTTTGAATGTTTCCTCCTATGGTTTTTTTGTTTGTTTGTTTTTGTTTTTGGAGAGGTTTTTGCTATAGGGCGCGTGCACTCGCCAGACAGACAGAGAGAGACAGAGAGATAGAAAGCAGGAAATCACCCCCCAGGGGGGATGGCCACGCCGCAATCCCTTCTCCTCCATTCTCCTCTCGGGATCCTGGGCACGCACGCACACGCGCCCGGCGTGAGTTTAAGCCACCGGGTCTGGGACTCGAACCGCGGTTGACTACATGGGAGTCCAGCGACACAGCCATTACGCTAACTGCTGGTCCCTTTCCTCCTATGGTTTTGAATGGCAATTGCTTTTACCTGTTATTCCCATGTATCTATTTGTGACTCATTTTCAAGGTAAAATACTAATGAAAATATTAAAAATCTGACAAAATAGGAAGAGATTTTTTTAAGTTCTAAGTTCCATTATTCTCCTTTAAACCAGTGTTTCTGCCTCTTGACCCCTCCCAGGATTTATTATGAGAATGTCCTGATTTCTTTGAAGACAAGGGCAACTGTGGTAGGCATAAAAATGACCACCTAACGTTGACAAAGTCTTAATTTCTACAAGCTATGAATATGTAATGTAATGTGTTAAAATACAGAAGGATTACATATGTGGTTTTGTTAAACTGTGATTGAGTTAAAGGACCACAGGATGGGGAAATTCTGAATTGTTTGTGTTGGACCCAGTGTAATCATAAAATTGGAAGAGTGAAGCAAAAGAAGTCAGAAGAGTTATCTTACACTGCAAAAGAACTAAGCTGTGTAAGAGAGACTTGGCCACTTTTAATCGCTTTAAAGGAAGAAAGGGCCTTGGATCAAAAATGCAGGTGGCTTATACAAATGGAAAAGGCGAGGAAACAGATTCTCTTCTGGAGCTCCCAGAAAGGAATGTGCAACTAATAGTACTTTTGTTTTAACCAGGTGAGACCAATGTCAAACTTCCAACCTGTAGTAATAAAAGATAATAAATTTATGTTTTAAACTACTGAGTTTGTGATCATTTGTTACGGCAGCGAATAGATTAATTCAGCAACTGAATAGATGATTAGTTGCATTATTAGTGAAGAGTCACAAAATACAGTCCTAGTATGATACCTATTTTTCTCTTTTAAAGATTAGTTACCTTAGGAAAAAGCTACTTATCTTTCTGGAATCACTAATAAGTTAGTATTAATAAAGTCCTCTAAATGTCTGGATAGAAAACTGTATGGTTTTTTAAATATTTATTTATTTAATTCCATTTGTTATTATTTTTTATTTGAACAGGGAGAGACAGAGAGAGCGAAAGGGGAAGTAAGGAAGCAAGCTGCCAGAGAAAGAAAGAAAGTGAGAAAGCAAGCCGCAGATCCAGGACTTGAACTGTGGTCAGCCACGTGGGAGTGTCCAGCGTCTCAGCCACCATTGCCACCTGCTGGTCCCTGAAAACTGTACGTTTTGAACCAACAGGTGTTGTAATGGTTATGTTGCTGGACTCCCAGGTGGTCTACTGCGTTTTGGGTCCTGGACCGTGCGGTTTGAAACTCACTCCAGGCATACTCAAGATACTGAGAAGAGAATGGAAAAGGGATTGTGGTGTGGCCATCCCCTTGTGGGGGATGATTTCTTGTTTTATGTCTCTGTCTCTCTCTGACGAACGCTCCATTCCATATAGCAAAGAATCTCTTAAAAAATGTATGTTCATAATATCTAAAAAAGGAATATTTTGCCTAAAGAAAATGGCTATCAATTCTGCATATTTATATTTTCTTGGCATTTCATGTAGTCAAGGAGAATACGAGATATACAAAAGGACTGTATACCACCTGATCATATTTTGGGCAGTTGTGGGTGGGGAAGGGCTAACTTCTTTGGAGGAATACATGGATAGTGCTTGTCAGGCAAGACTAAGATGTAAAGTTTGAGTCTGTCTGAGGGAGTTAGTTCTTTTTCTAAAAGTGGGATTAGAGGGGCCAGAAGTTGACATAGTGGTTAAGGCTCTGAATTCCTATGTGATTGACCACAGTTTAAGTCCTGGACCTACTAACTTAAAACTCCTGCCAGGCACATGTGGGTGCATGCCCGAAATCCTGAGAGGAGAATGGAGGAGAAGGGATTGCATCATGACCATCTCTCCTGGGGGGGGCGGGTGATTTCTAGCATTCTGTCTCTGTGTCTCTCTCTGGCAATCATGTGTTCCCTATAGCAAAAGTCTAAAAAAAAAAATTCTACTGATATCTTTATGAGTGAAAAGAAAAATCCATGTTTACACTGAGAGGAAATAGAAAATGAAAAAAGAAGGAAAAAAATTAAAATCTTATTTCCCAGAGGTATTCAATTAAAATTTTGGTGACTCTTGTTTTTCTTTTTAGAGTATATTCATACGTGGACATAATATGAGTAGGCATGCTGCACATATATTTGAGATCAAACTATATTTTGTAAGTTGCTTTTTTAGAAATCCATTAAATCCTGAACATATTAAGTATTCTTCAATAATTTAATAAAGAATTAAATATTCTGAAATATTTATTTTTTTAAGAAATTTTTCTGTAATGTATTCACCAGAGAGACAGGCAGAAAGTGAGAGATCGCCTCACAGGGATTGTGGAGGCAATCCCTTCTCCATTCTCCTCTAGGCATTTTGGGCACACACACACGCCCAGTGTGAATTTTTTTTTTTTTTTTTGTTAGACAAT